GGGCAGGCAGGGCTACCACAGTACTGAGAGCGTGCATAGCTCAGTCAGGAACGCCGGCCCCTGCAGGGTGACAGCTTCCTTAGTTGATAATGACTAGGAACCAGGTGAGGTTCCTAGGAAAGGTAAGAGTAGAGTGGTTTCCACAGAGGAAAGGTAAGCAGCTTAGAAAACCATGTGGAAAAGAGTAAGTAGATTTGGATAAAGAGAAATAAGACCAGGTAGGAGTGGGCCTTGAAGTCTGGTTAAGAATTATCATTCAGTGGAAGACATAGTTGTGAACCACTCAGATGCAAAGGAATAGCACAGTAAAAATGCCCATTTGTGCAAGTTAGGGGCAGAAGAGACCGGAAGGGAGGCAAAAAAAACAGGCTGTTGTGTAGGTTCTTGACCTGGGGTTTCTGTTTGCTACAGCTGACGTAACAGACTTCATTTTAATTTAAATACCTCTTTAAAGACCATATAATACAGTCACATTCTAAGGTACTGTGGGTCAGAACGTCAACCTATAAATTTTGAGGGAGGGACAATCCAGCCCATAACAGTCTATTGGAGGGCTCCAGGGGCTTTGTGAGCCCCCAAGTTTGAATGCGGAATTTTGCACAAATATGCATTTGTCTGAGGTGTGTCCACAGCATGCATCTGATTCCCAAAAGGATCCATGATCCCTCCCCAACTGGCTGTGTGTATTAATTGACTCAGGAGGAAGTTAAAGCTATGGGACGAAGGCCTGGAAGTGCCACAGGCAACAATAAACATGATTTGGTGTTCAATGGCAAATGAAGGAATGAGAGTTTAAGCTGACTGTAAGACTTCAAGTGTTATTGTGAGGCACTGGAAATTATGTTAGAACTGTTGTTAGAGGAAAGTAGATTTTTATTTTTGGACCTTATTTGAATTTCATGGGAAATTATGTAATTTCCATGATTGTCAATAAAAAACACTGTTGAGTTTCAATAAGTAAGTGAGTTCAATGAAACTAACCTGCTTATTATGTCCTTGCTAATATTTTCCTAAAAAGAAAGTCATAGAGCTACAAAGCTGTCACCAGCTGCTTCTCATTAGTAATGTGGTTAGCAGATGTGGTTTTTCATAGTTATAATGCATGAGATAGTTAATCCATTTTTGTAGGTTTCAGATGGATAGTAATTTATCTTGGCTGGATGAATTCTAAAATGTGCTTGCATCAGCTAAAGGATATATGCACCTTTTCCTCTTTCACTTCATGTTTGTGCTGGGGAGAAAAACACATTTTAGGATATTTCTCCTGGAAGGCAAAGTAGTACTGTGTTGAAAGGGACAATGGATCTCACTGTCTTCTAACTGGGAAGAGTTAGGCGTGGATACTTTTTCAAAGGTGAATGTTGGATGAGTTATCTTACAAGCTTATTTCTCCCTCTGGCCTCTTCTTCAGTAGTAGCTGAGCAGCTCTTGCTTTTGTTTCTCTGGCATCAGGCCACCTTTGTGGTAGTGACCTTCAGGCTTGCTAAGGGCTGCAATTTTGCCTGGGGCCCTCCTTCCTTATGAAATTACACAACTCTCAAACTTTGGAAGCAGCCCCAGATCCACTGATTCTGTCCTTTGGCAGGCTCTTGGCAGTATGTATTCCCTTTCAGCCAAAGTGTAGCTTTATACAAGATCTGTTTGTCACTGAAATTAATTTGGCCATCTGCCCTTTAAACCTGGAATCAAATAGTATTATGGCAGGCTCATTCCTAGATAAAGTATAGACTCTTAGTCCGAGAGTTTCTACCAAAGGTTTTATTGTTAACTACTGCTAAAGGTCAACAGGTAATAATAACAGCAGCAGGTTCTTTTAATGGGAAAGGTACAGTGCTACTAAGCGTTTTGCAGACATCATCCCACTCAGTGCTTACAACCAGCCTTTGAGTAGAGGGTCTCCGAAGTTTCCTGAAGGAGAGACTGAGGCCCATGACCTCAGCTTCTTAACCCACTGTCCTACAAGTAGTAAATGGCCAAACTGTGATTTGAACCTTGTGCTTTTAATTGCCATGCTATATTGTACATCTGCTATGAGGGAGGGAAAAAAAAAGACCATTGGCTTTTGAGAGAGCGTAGCATCAGAGCCTGAGTCATAGAATTGTAGGAAATTGTGGAACTGAGAGAGTTAATCTAACCCTCCTACCTCATTTTGAAGTACCAATGATACCTGCCTTGTTCTGAGAAAACAGATAATAGCTTGAGTGGAGGAGAATACGTATTGATAGGTGACTGGAAGGAAAGGTTATTAAGAATTATCTCAGCCATTCCCTCTTTTAGAGGTAGATAAAATAACATGCTTGTTCAAAGAATTATCTGAGCTTGTCTCACCGTCCCTAGGAAACCGTGGAAACAGATGTGTACTCTTTATTTCCGATTTCATTATCCACAGTAAGTAGATTTCCACTGACTACTTTAGATTTCCTAGATGGTAATTTTCACTCTGCAAGGAACCAATAACCTTCAGAGCGATTATTTGAAACAACTACAGCGCAGGAGGCACTGAATTTCAATCAATCACAGGTTTAATGAGTTCCTTCTCTGCAAGGCAATATTTTTGGAATAGTGGGGAACAAAAAGAAGTCAATGGATGTTCCCTGCCCTTCTGTATTTTATTATCTACTTGGGCAAATGAGTGAGGCATAGAATAAAATTGTTCCAGAGAAAAATCCCAGCAAATTGGGTCGACAGGGAAAACTGGGATGAGATCTTACTGGTAGGAAAGTGGTCAAAACGGGCAAGAAGTGTTTGCAAGGATGGACTGAGGCAGGAATGTGCAAGGCATCATTAGGAGACACTGACTGGATGAGTTTGGCCAATCTGAAAGTAGTGATGAAAGTGAATGTGGAAAATTAATTCAGATTCTGATGGAGGACCTTATAAAAAGAGCTGAATAGTTTGGAAAATGTTTATAGATACATTTTAAAATAATTTTTTAAAGTGAAAATTCCCAAGTAATTCAAACAGCAATCTCCATTACCTTCCTTCTTCCAGGGTTAAATATTTTGTTATATAATTTGCTATCTTATGTAAGTGCCCTCACTTACTATTTGGTTGGAAGATCTATGACTTACCCCAACTATATGGACCAAAAGGTCTTGACACTTTTGGAAAGAATTTCTAGCACTTTCCTTTTGCTAATAAAGGTGTTCTCAAGTGCCCAACCTCTGGGTGGTTATGTATGTAAAAGTGTTCAAAATAGTGCTCATACTATAAGGAATCAGCTGCCAAGTGCTCTCTAATAAGTAGAAATTTCACATAACTCAGGCCTCTAGGGGCTCACGCCTCAGCTGGAGCAAAGCCAGAAATGACTGGGACTGCAGGTGCACTTGGGCACATCGGGGCCTGCCAGAACAGGGAGCTGGCCTCACTGCGATTGATTTAGGAAAGGGCTGGAGGGTTGTGCTTCTGCTGACATTTGCAGCCTGGAAAATCCTGCTCCAGTAATTGCAAAGAGGATTCTGCTATAATGATTTTTTTCATATGATACTTTTCTCATTTTGAATTCTTTCTTCATTTGGGCTCTGGGTGCTTTCCAATCTCTATTTTTATTGTTTTAACTCCTGGTATAGGAGGCTCTTTGGAAGTTTCTGCCCACACATGAATGTGCATTCATAGAGTAGTGCATGGACATGGCTTACGAGCTTCAACATGTACTTCATGAGCAAGCAAGTATACAGCCCCTTTTACAGGAATTGCTGCACGCTCCCTCGGACGGCAACCCCCCCCCCCCATCCATCCAAATGAAAACATGGGGCTCTGGCTTTTTCTGCAAAAAAAAAAAAGTTAGAGGGCATCTTGACCTCATGCTTTTGAGATCTCTCAGCAGCATGATTTCTGGACCCTCATTTTTGAGGTTGGGGTATGTACTTTTTAAAAAAAAAAAAGGTCTGGACCAGGAGGCTGGGAGACTTGACTGGGTAGTCTCTGCTTCCTCATTGTGGGCTTTGGGCCAGAGTCTTTGGCTTTCTGGGCCTCAGTTTCCTCAGCTCTTTGAGCCCATCAATCTGGAAGAAGTAGGTGGATTGCATCACCCATGTCTTTGCGTGAAAGCTGCTGCAGGATTTGCAGTGTTCAGTTTCTGAGGATGCCCATATATGCACATGCCCCAATAAAATGACATGGCCTCAGGCTCACACAGACACCTGATTTGTGTGGCTTGCTGTTGTCTGTGATAGTGTACCCTAAAAAGGACATGGCCTCCAAGGTGAGAAAGCCAGCTACAAATTCAAGTCCAAACACTCCAATATTTTGATTATATGAGACTTTTTACACACATATTCTGCCATCTCCACTGACTCTACACTTCGTTCACATTGCAATTCTGGTATCTTCCTAAGTAGCCATCATTCTGCAAATATTTCAGTGCCTACCTACTGTGGCTGCAGAGTGACAAATGCTTGGATTCATGCCTCTGGATCTTTGCTTATGTAGTACCCTCTGCTCCACCTATTCAGCTTCCACTGTTCCATCTGTGAAGCTGACTCCAGGCCCAACATTTTGTTTCTTCTACTCTGCTCTCAGGGCGTTTTCTACATGTCACTTAACCACATAATATCACATCAAGTTGCTTTGTTCACCGTTTTCCTCCCCAACTAGACTGCCAGCTCTTAGCTGCGGTATGTTTTATTCAGCTCATCTCCAGCCTCAAAAGGAGCACACGGCAGAGCATTAAGTAATATAATAAACCAAACAGTGCAAAAGTGAATGTGCAACTCGGTCTTGCAGACTTGCAAAGTGCCTCTCGAAGCTGATTTTGTATTCCGTGCCCATGCAACACCGGTGAATTGCATGATAGAGGTCAGGAGTTTAAGGGTGCCGAACAGAGGGAGCACGTGAGACTGAGCTCCACTCTGCTTGAGCTGCCCACGGTAAGCTGTAACCCATTGGACTGCCGACAACTCCTTAACCTGCCGGAAGCGGCTCGGCCGGCCTCTCCCCGCCCCTCCGGAAGATGGGCGTGGCCTCTTATGAATAATGAATCTCCACAGTGGGAGAGGCCAGGCCCGCCCCCTCGGGCGGGAAGGGGGAAGCGCCGAGGCTGCCTGATTGGAATGAGGGTAGCTGCTGCGACTGCGGCGGCGGGAGCGGGGCCGGCCATGGCGGTGTGGACGCGGGCCACCAAAGCGGGACTGGTAGAGCTGCTCCTGAGGGAGCGCTGGGTCCGGGTAGTGGCCGAGCTGAGCGGGGAGAGCCTGAGTCTGACGGGCGACGCAGCGACGGCTGAGCCCGAGCCCGTTCTAGGGCCCGCGGCGGCCGCCTTCAACGGCCTCCCTAACGGCGGCGGCGCCGGAGACTCGCTGCCCGGGAGCCCGAGCCGCGGCCTGGGCCCCCCGAGCCCACCCGAGCCGCCGCGGGGCTCCGGTGGTGAGGCGGGCGCGTCACCGCCGGTGCGCCGGGTGCGGGTGGTGAAACAGGAGGCGGGCGGCCTGGGCATCAGCATCAAGGGCGGCCGCGAGAACCGGATGCCGATCCTCATCTCCAAGATCTTCCCGGGACTGGCGGCCGACCAGAGCCGGGCGCTGCGGCTGGGAGACGCCATCCTGTCGGTGAACGGCACCGACCTACGCCAGGCCACCCACGACCAGGCGGTGCAGGCGCTGAAGCGCGCGGGCAAGGAGGTGCTGTTGGAAGGTGAGCGTGACGGGCGGGTGGGCGGGCGGCTTTAGGCTGGCTGGCGCTCACTTTGTTTCTGCCATCCTGCCCCCTTTGCATGGCGAGCCCCTTCCCCGAGTCCTTACCTTTCCCTCTGCTAGTGGCCCAGATCTCCCTGACCCGGTTTGCTGGGGCTTTGAGAATGGAAAAACTGATGCTCCTTGCAGGAAAAGTTGGGCAGCCGCCGAAGTGTGGTTTGCAGTCCTCAAGGAAAGCTCGTTTGAGATTTAGTAAAAAGCAGCCGCGCTTGACGCTCCGCCTCTGCACGCTAAACTGACACTAAGAACTAGAGGGAGGCGGAACGGAGTTCTGGAGGGGTCTCCGTTTGCATTCTGAAAAGTGCCGGGTTGGCGCTTTCATCGCTCACTTCTGGCTCTCCGGGGTGGGCGGGTTTGTTTAAAAAATAAAAAATAAAAATCGTCCACACTGATACCAGATGCTTGGGCAAACCACCAAAACGCTGGTTAATTTATGGGAATTTAACTCATCATTGGCTCTCAACAATAACCAAAGGAGATCATAGCACTTCATTGAAGCCAGAAAGCTGAAACAGCACGTTTGTGTAGTTAATGAGCCTTGTTTAACAGTGGAGGCTCACATGTTTGAACATTAACTGCCAACTAGAGTTTTTCCCCTTTTGCAGGAGACTGGTGCCAGCTTCCTACCATTCACAGGCATGCTGCTTCAAGGCTTTAAGCATTTAGAAGCCTGAAATGTTAAATCTCAAGTTATGTTTGAATAGCCAGGATTATTGTTTAAGTATGTATGTGATTTGTTACCTGGGTATTTTATGATGAATTTATGGAACTAAGGCAAAATTAAAATTTCATCATTTTGAAGGACTCCTGCGTGTTGAAGGTGATAGAGTATTGTAAATGTGATGAAAAAGCCAATTTCTTACTTCGGAAATTTTTGAGCAATCGTCATTCACCTGTGATTCAGTCATTCAAGAAGCATTTACTGCTGGCTGTATAGAAGAGAATGTACAAGATGGTGTGTCTCTGTTTGGTGTATAGTTGGGGAAATGATAGAAAAATACAAAACGATTTACAAGTTATAGATTATGTAGTGCAAACTATATAAATGCCGAGGGAGTGCAAGGTAGAAAGTAGTGGAAATTGGATTGGTCAGGGAGGAATTTTTAAGGAGCTGTGTCTCCAAGGAAGTGATGGACGTAGACAGGCAGAGATGAGTCAGGAGGGTATTCCTGGCAAAGAAAGAACAGCAGGAAAGGGGTGGGGAGTGGAGGTATGAAGGGACCAATCATCAAACTGAGAGGCCAGAAATCCAGCGTGGCAAAGTGATTTTCATTTTTTTCCAAATCTGCTGGTAAGTAGTTGGGAAAATGTTGGTTTCCCAAATGCAAGTAAATGATTTAATGTGCCCCAGTTGTGAAATTCCAGTGTCCCACCTTTATAATATCCTACTTATAAATCTTATTTCTGTCTCACTTTCGTTGGGCTAAATGAGATATAAATATAAACATTGCTCAGAAATAAGTGTCAATAAAAGGATAAAAATTATAGATTGTGGCTTGGGTGGTGGGTGTGTAAAAAAAATTGTTACCTTAAATGTGTACCTTGAAATTGGGCTAAGTAAGCATTTGGTTATAAATTCTTAGTGCCAGAATATTGAATGTAGTACTATTTATTTGTACTCAGTGGTGATGGGCAGACATTTCAACTCTTTATCCCATATTTAAAAAAAAAATCCAGTTTTTGTTTAAGTATAACTTGAACCTAGTATTTATACCGGTTAAATGAAAATTATCTAGTAAATGCGTTCCCATATTGATTAGCCTAAAAATAGGTCACATGTGCTTTTAGAAGGAGGGTTTACAAATGGCAGCATAACATTTATTGAATGCCTATTTACCTAACATACAGGGTCTTTTTTATTTTCCCATTTTTAAAAGACAAGTGGTTTTTGTTCTTTTTTGTGTGGGGAAGTATGAAATTGCACTTTCAAGCCAAGGGATGTAAAAATAAAATTAATTAGAATATGCAAAATCACTGAAAACAGTGATTTAATTGAACTAGTCAAACATTTAAAATCCAGAGCTGGTGTCCCAACCAGGTAGGCCACTTTTAAAAGATAGATTTTATGCTTAGCCCTTAAAATTTTGAAACTGTATGGTATTTCCATTAAATGTCTCAAAACTTGAATAACTGCCTTAGCATAGCACAGTGATGCTTTTTTGTGGTGTGGGCAGGGAATTTCAGGCATGCCCTTGCCACCCTCAAGCAAAGGAAATCTGTAGTCTCTGGTTGCCTGTGGTTAGGGAACTGAGGGAGCATGGATTTTTAGGGATTTTTCATTCATATATCAAACATTTATTCAACTCTACCACTTGAAGACAGTACATGATTCCTGCCCTCAGGATAGTTTGGAATTGAGATAAGAGAGAGTTAAGAAATAAGTACTGTAAAGGGCTAAAAGCACTATTATAACAGAATTCAGGAGAGGGCACAGCACAAAGGATGGGGGGGGGAGGTCAGTGGAAGGCCATCGTGGGGATCAGAGGTTGAGGATGCCCAGGAAAGGTTGATGGGGAAGTTGGAGTTGAGCTTTTCCCTAACAAGAAAGCTGCCGCCAGTGAAGACATGAGTGAGAGACGTGAAGAAGTCATTCTGCCCAGTTAGGGCAGAGTATAAATAAGGATTTTGTGGTCAGCCAGACCTGGGTGTGTCTCTGGCTAGTGGTTTGTAACCCCTAGGCAAGTTACTCAACCTTGCTACACCTTTGTTTCCTCATCTGTAAAACCAGGATGGTAACAATACCTCCTCACAGGGTTGTCATTCATATGACAGTTTATGTGCTGGAAGCTTTTTTGGGGACTGGGAATACAGCAGTAAACAGCAGCAATGAAAAAGTCTGAATGAGGAAGGTAGAACTGGGTCATGAAGATGTGTAGCTTCTTGTCAAGTTAACAAAGACACTCTCAGAATAGCCAGGATAACAAGTTGCTAAAATCTAAGGCTCTTATTTTACTTGAAAAGAAATACATGGTAAGAATAAGACTTGCTTTAGGTGAACAGGTTAAGAATGAGTTTGTATTTCTGGCATGCAAACATCTTTTCCTAATCTTGTTTTCCTGTTTTTCTGTCATCTCTTATATAGGCCAACATTTTTATCCTTAAATTACGCATTTAGTTTTCTATCCCTCTGATTTTTCCTCTTCCTTCACACTTATTGGTCAGACCCTTAAAACTTGCTAATTAACCATGTGCTTGTAGTTTTGACTACTGACTGTTAGCATTGATACTAAGATATACATTGACACACAGATTCTCAGCAAAAAGGGAGAGATGATCTTCTACCATACTTTTTGATGAATTTAGTATATCCTGTGTGCTAGGAATAGAATCTGTCCGGAAAGCTTCTAGAATTTATATTTTTAGGGCTATGAAATGGACTAAACGAATGTGTATTAAACTATACACTGAAAAGTGTTCTAGAGGAGGTTAGGAAGGACAGTATAAGTGTCCCGCTAAAGGTCTGATATTGAGAAAAGATCAGTATTTCTGAAGGAATTCTCATTGGAATACTGTTGGAAAAGCACCTTTTACTGAGCGAATATGATTCAAAAATTATTGTTACTAAGTCTACTGAAAAGAAAAGGAAAGAAAATTACTGTTACTATGTCTAGGTATATAGAGGAAGTGGACTGGCATGAAATTTAACTTCAGAATTGAAAATAATTTTTATATCTAGCATAGTTTGAGATTTTGAGTGTTCTATATAGCATGGCTGGCTCTTTGTATATGTTAGGGGACATGTAAACAAATACTTCTGACATTATTAGGCTGCTAATTTAAAGAAGCTAGTCTTCCTATGCTGCCACTTTCTTCACTATATGTTGGAGAAGTTGAGAGTCTCCTCGGAAAAATATTTTACATTTTCTTTGACACTTTGCATGTATGTTCATTAATCTGTCTCTTAAAGAACAACTAAATTGTCAGGACATTTTGTGTTTGTGTTTTTTCCTTTTGTTTAAGTCACTTCTTCGTGTTTCACTTGAATGATTAGACATGTTTATATGAGAAGCTATGTCTTTGTAACCAGATTATTTCTTATGTATTCCTTCTTGCTGAAATATCACCTCCAAATTATTAGAAAAACATGAGAAATTTATTGGTTCTAATACAGAGTGGTTATGAAAATTCTAAGAATGTTTTTAGAAGCTGTAACCAGGCTTTAATTTAGATCTCAACTGATAAACTCAGTAATGTCAACTGATACATTCCCTGCTGTATAGTCCTTCTAGGATAAAGGTTACTTTACTTTGTGATCAAATGTGTATTTTTGTACATAAGGATGAGGTGCAGCCAGTGGCTGTGGAACAGTGTTCTGCTGTTCTGAGCTGACTGAGTCATTCAACGATCCAGCCACTGCCCTTGGCTAGGTTAACACACTGTCCTAACCAGCTGAACAACAAATAATAATGCTTGCTTGCGTTTCCCGCCAAATTGTATGATAATGCCTTAGTTTGTTTTTAATCAGGATTTTAAAATTATCTATGCATTCTTATGTGTATTTTTTCATTTGACCGTTTCACAGTCCTTTTAGGTAGTGGGCTGTTTGTCTTTGTTTTGTAGATGATTATACTGAAGTTCATTAATGTTAAGTGAGTTACTGAAAATTCCAGAATTTCTCTTGATTCTTGGAGGAAAATGTTGTTTCCTTTGGGCAAGTGGGAAACTGCTACCTGGAATTTTAAAAATTGTAAGATCGCATCTTCCAGAGGAAGAATTAATGACCAGAGAGGTTTAAGTTGTATGTTTAAGGTTACCTAACTAATCAGTGGTGGAACTTGGACAAAAACCCAATCCAGTGCGTTCTCCCTTGCTACCTACAAACAGCCAGTCAGAACTTCTAGCCTCTCCTGCACATCATCATATTACAATGTGTTGTGAGAGATCATGTGTAAAATGTGCAATGTGCAAAAGAAGTTGAATGTGGTTGCTGCTGTCAAAAAA